TGCCCAGCCCCAGCCAGAGTGCAGAATCTCGTGGAGCTTAGGGGAACAGCCCTGCCAGAGGTAGGCCAAGCAGCTTACCTCAGTAGTGCGTTCACCAAACCCAAAGCCAAGTATCTGGGGGCCTGCTCCCCCAACCGCTGGCTTCCGGGAGGGAGGAGTCCAGGGCATCAAAGAGGCTGCAGCTTACAGGGAAGTTAGAACAAGAACCAGGGTGCCAAAAGGAAGCCCGGAGGAAACTCCTGTAGTCAAAATCGAGAAAGAGCAAGCTGGCTTCCCTCACCCACCCTTGTTTTTGTTTTTTCTTTCGGGGTAGATAATGCTGTTAGTTCGGAGTAAAAGAGTAGAAACAGACAGACCTTTCCCTAGGGGAGAACAGAACCATTAGACCCAAAGAGGAAATGAAGGCCTCAAGCAGGCTTTGGGGTAGACCTGTGAAAGGGGGTATGGGGAACCCTGGAAAAGCCTAGATATCTGTATCTGACCCTAAGAAGTGAAGGTGGGAAGCTAAGAACTACTGGTTACTCATGCAGAAACTTTCCTGAGAAGTACTGGGTCCACAGCCAGCGCTAGCATGTGATCAGGACACACTGTTCTGGCACCAGCACCTGCCCCCATCCACTTCCCTCCCGTGTTTCAGAGCGCAGAGCAGTCTGGAACTTCATAGTGTGTGGTTACTGACATCACTCACTAACTTGTTTCTAAGTGAAACTAGGAATTATGCAGCGGTTTAAAGAAACAAAGGCAGGACATGACCTAAAATTCCCTGCATGGGGGTAAGGAGCTAAAACAAAATTGCAGTGGCCTTCACATGCACCTACACCCTACCCCACTCCCAGCCTCTCCTTTAACCCTAGCAGCTCTGCAGAATATACACTGTCATCTCACTCTACAGATGTAGAGTCTGAGGCTCAAGCTAAGTCCCAATTTGCTGAAGGTCACAAGACCTAATAAGGGTCATGGCTAGGTTTTAGACCCAGGCAGTCCTACTTCCAAGATGGCACTCATTCCCTCTTCGCATGCAGCCTTGAGTGTTTGAGAGAGCTGTGTGTCCAGCATGATAAGCACACAGTGGGGCAGCAGGGAAATCCTGCAGTTGGAGCCTGGTCCTAAAAGAGAAGAATGAAAGAAGAGCTGACACCTCAGTGATGCTGGACTCTGTGTGTGTGTGTGTCCAGGGTCTCCAGTTTAGTCAATTGTGTGGACTGTGGCAAGAGATGGGAGTCCACACGTATGGGCCAGTCAGCAGCCAATGTTTCTGTATCTCCGCCCTCTCTCTAAGCTTTTCCTCATGAGGGGGGCATGGGATTATTACATAGTAATACTCCATGTCAAAGCAAGAGGGAAAACCATAGTTTCCTAAAACTGGGAAAACTTGGGAAACACTGTGGATCCAAGATATCAAAAACTAAGATCACTGCCCCAGGACAAAGGCCAGAGTAGAATGCTGAAAGGTGAGGAAACCAATTAGCCCAGAATATGTCAGATTCCCATCTCTACCAATCATCCTCCTCTATCTAAGGCTGTTCGATAGGGAAGAGAGAAGATAACTGTGTACCAAAACTCACGCCCCATCACTATAACCCTCTGTTTAAATTTCAAGGCTCACAGAAGATCTAAGAGTAGAAATTCCCTGACTGTCTCAAAACAAAGGACCTGGTTAGAGAGGCAGGATGAGCTGAATTCTTGGATGGAAGCAAAAGAAAACATGTGTTCTGAGAGGCAAGATTCCAGGGTGATGAGTGCCAAATTGACCTGGGAAAAGAGGTCCTGGGCTCCTGATGGATGTTTCACGGAGAAGGGTTATAGGGGAAGAAGGGCAGAAACAAGGAGCCAAGTGCCTGAATTCTGGGGATGAAACTGGGATTGGATTCTGTGAAAATGGAAGAATAGGAAGTTCTGGTCCTAGCCACTACTCCCAAAAAAGGAGAGGATAGACAAGAAGGAAGTGAAAATTGTCCCAGGAAACTGCCCTCCCATAAACAATGCCCAAGATATCCTGAATTTTTGTATAATTTGCAAAGAATTCATGCTCTGAACATAAGACAGATTTTAGCTTGAAACCATAAGTAGAAATAAATGCAAAGCTTTAAATCAATGATGTATCTATTTTTCCCCTCTTACTTCCTCCTGATATCTCTACTCCCCTCGACAACACAGAAACTCAGCTCACCAAAATCAAAGAAAAGAGAAAAGATTAACACAATAATCACCGAGCAATGTCTATTAAATGGAACTTTTGGTTAGTCACCTACAATTCCTTTTGGATAAAAGAAGGGTATAAATAAATTCAGTTACAACATACACACAGCATGTGGTTTATTGGTCCTGGCTAAGTGTCTGAACACCCAATGAGTGCTGTGCCCTGGCATCATGGTGCCCCTTTGAGAAGGCCGATGGCTGTGTCAAGAGGACTGTCTTATCGAAGGGTCAGGCTGAGGGAAGGATTACTGCTTTTGCTAGAAACAATAGGGGAGAGGAATTCTGGCTTACTCTAAGAAGGAAACATCTTACCAGAGAGGCTGTCTGACAGGGCCCTCGAGTTCTCCTCCCTGGAGGTTTGCAGCAGAATCCCGACGGCCCTTGTCAGGTCAGATGCTACAGAAGCAGAACAGAACTGGGCAGGCGATCACAGCATCTGCCACTTTACACTTAGGCAAGCCTTGCCTGCTCAGGGCTTCTGTAGCTTCCCCTCACGCATCAAACTGGGAGAATAATCCCTGCTCTGTTCTCCTCACAACAATGTGGTGACGAAAAACTGACACAACACAACAGCCTGGACACTTCACATAATGTAAGCACTGTACAAATACAGCACGACTCTGTGGTACTTCAAGCGCTTCGAAGCACTCACAGGCCTCCTGGGCAGGATGAGGGCCTGGGACCACATGTCCCTAAGGGATCACTGTGATCCCAGTGTCTAAGCAAAGAACAGCGCCAGAAATTTGCTGGGCAAAGCTAGCGGAGGTGACAAATCCACCCTATGGTAGAAGCCCAACCTCAAGAGCTACCTTAGGCATCAGACTAGAGAAGAAATATCTAGGGCCAGGAAGTCCACCTAGGTCTGCCTGCCCAGCCCTCAGGCCACTGGGGGTCTCACATACTCCTATGGAAAAGAAGGAAGGGAAAAAGAAACAAACCAAGTCATAAATACACAATTTTCAGCTTGCAAATGACCACTGAATATGAGGCCCAGGTATTACACAGCTAGTGATAGGCAAAGAGATGCTAGAAGCCAAGCTTCCTACCCCTTTCCCAGTCCACTGTATCCTACTGTCTATCAAAATTTCCAGCACCTCTTCTTTCTGCTGTTCCTGTCACTCAGAAAAGCAGGCATCTTGGCATAGGTAACTTGGAATTCAAGGAAGGAACAGAAGGTAAGAAGGTAAAATGAACAGCTTCTGCTTTAAGTGGGAACAGAGCCTGCGAAAATATAGAAGGCTAAACAATGGCAGTCTGAAAAACACTGTCACTTCAAAGAGCAGGAGAGAAGACCAGGATATGGCAATAGAAAGGAAAGGCCCAGTGCTCACTCCAAGAAATGGAGCTCCATCTCCTAACAGACACTTGGTCCTTGAGACTTACACTTCTCTCCACCTCTCTTTGGTCTGCTACCCCAAAGAGGCCAGCTGACTGGAGAGCTCTGAGAGCCACAAGGTACCTGGCAGAATCCCTTAATCTGAGTTCTCTTTGAACCCGTGCACCTTTGCCACCACTTCATGATGCCAGGTATTGGCTAGTAGCAACAGGATGAGCCAAATTCAAGACAGACTTTTTAATTAAGCACAAAAAAGACTTTTGCCAGAACACTAATTCAATAAATGAACAGAACTCCTAATTCAGTTTTTCTCTATGCAACTATACAAGCATATCAAGCAATAACAATGTTACTCTGCTACATGTACATGGCCCTGGGTACTCCTGAAAAATCTATCATTTCATTTGTTCCTTGCAAACAACCTGTGAGGGACTTGGAAAGTTAGTTATCCCCATTTTGCAAGTGAAGAGAACATGGCATAGCTTAACTGACATATCTAGGGGTGTACACTAAGAAAGGCAGAGCTAGGACACAAATCCTGATTTCCAAACCTGTGTTCTGTTCCTCTGCTCTTACAGTGAGGTTTCACGGCCTACATTTCCTTAAAGGGGAAGGAGGAGAGCCAACTTAGGAGGTATTCCAGACCATCTGCTACCTGCCCCCACCCAAGGCAGCTCTATTTAGTTAGCTCCCCAAAACACAGCAGCCTGCCTCAGCCTGGATAATCCATTCCAGAGTTGTACTTAGCCCAAACTGACTTGGAATCCAATTACCCCAGTGTGGAAAAAGCCCTTACAAGTAATCTAATACAACCTCCCTTCAGAGGCCTAAAGTCTTTTTATGTTCTCCTTGGTCTAACCTCACAACTGCCATTGCTCCCAACTCCTTTCAAGGTACTCTATCTGGGTAAGGAGCTACTGGGAACAAGCCTGCATGCACCCTGAGAGGGAAAGAGAGGTGAAGTTTCCTGTGTACCCATCAGGGTAAGAGTTCTCATCAGGGCATTTTCTGAATGGCAGTGTCNATCCACAAGAACGCCCCCCCACCCAGCCAAGAACTTACTCCTCCCACCTTTCTCCCCAGAACCTCTTGCTCTGGGTTCACTGGGAAAGAGGGTAACGACGCGACCCTCTCTAGAATCTGACCCCCGCACCCCTCTGCGGCCCAGACGACCCTCGCCCTATCTGCGCTGGTTCTTTACCTGGGTCCCGCCCACCCAAACTCGGCAGGTATCCGCAGCCCGCCCTTGGTCGGACTCCAGGCCCCAGGCCGGGTCCCCACTACCGGCCCAGGCCCCACCCCCTCGACCCCCGGCGCCCGGCCCTCCCCTCGCACTCCTTTCCCCCTCCCACCATCCACCGCAGCCACTTCCGCCCGTCCTCCGGAAGTGGGTCCGCGGCAACTGCCACCTCCCGTCATCCCGCCTTATCTCCCCCCGCCCATCATCACCGCCACCAAGGGAGCACGGAACGTGACTCTGCAGGACTTGAGGTTGTTCTGCAGTTACTAGTCACAGAACTGGAGACGAGGTGTGGGCAGGACAGAGTGCGGGTGAGAAAGGACATGGGGACAAGAGTAACGGCTGTGCAAGAAGGGGCGGGGCAGAGTGTGGCGGAAAGCCGGAGCTCGCGTCACGTCGAGCCGCGCGGGAAGAAGAGCGCATGCGCATGACACCTCGCCCGGGTGGTGAAGTTTGGTGCTTGGACTGCTTGGCCAGGCTGGACTTGGGCGGGAAGGGGGCGGGGCTAGAGCCCGCAAGTGGGGGCGGAGTCAGCCAGGGGCAGTCTCGCCCGGTCCCCTTGGTTTTACTGTCTCAACAACTGCGTCTTTGGAGTTCTGAAGAAGGCCTAAGCTGGTCCACTCTCTGGATTCGAGTCCTGGTGAGAAGCAGTTCTGGAAGCACCAAGGCCTGTGTTCACCCATTCCTACGTTGAGAGCTCTGTAGCAGTACTAGAAGAAAGCTGTTTTGTTTATTGCTTACTTTTCTCGCTGCATCTCTCACGGAGGCAGGACCTTCCTTGGGTCTGAGAAGAGACTACAGTAAGCTCTCCTCCCCCTCCCGCCCCCAGGACAGCTCTGTTCTACACGCATTGTGCGAAGCCCTTGTCAAGTATCAGCACGCACCAGTCTGTACCATGGTTACCTGAACAGCACAGAAGTCTTCCAGAGGTTAGATGGCTAGAAAGTGATAGGGGCTGAATGCGAACCTTCCAGTCGGTAACACTAACCTGTGTTGCCACTATCGTGTGCAAACAGTCTCCTCTTGAACCTTTCCACACCTTCAAACTTTAGACTTACAGTTTCCAAAATTTCCCTGGTTGATTTTTTTCAAAATGTATTGGTCAGACATGTTCTTGTCTTAAAAGTGCATGCAAAAGGAGCTACTACTAATTTTTGTTCACATGTCATCTACTTAATGACGTGTTCTAGAATTTTGCCAGGGCTTTGGATGACTTTGCAACCTTTGTTTTTTTCACCCTTTTATTGAAAACTGGAACTTAGTGTGCAGTCTTCTGGAATATCTTCTTTGATACTGAGCTGCTAAAATTCATATGTGATAAGAGTACTAGGAGGCTCTTTTGTTATAATATTCGACCTTTGACCTTAGTTCCTGCCACAAGGCCACAAAAACCCTTGGCATTTCCTCGGTGATAGGAATGTGATTTCTTCTAATGAGCAACTTTGTGTGGGCTCCTAGACAGCTTCTGAATGGGAGCTGGTCATTGAAAAGATCAAGCTACGATTAGAAAGTTGGAATTTTTTAGCATCTCCCTCCCGCGCCTTTTCTTGTGGAAAGGCTTCCCTTGTGACTCAGCTGGTAAAGAATCCACCTGCAATGCGGAAGACCTGGATTTGATCCCCTGGAGAAGGGAAAGGCTACTCACTCCAGTATTATGGCATGGAGAATTCCATGGACTATAGTCCGTAGGGTTGCAAAGAGTCGGACACTACTGAGCAACTTGCAACTTTCATTTCACTCTCATGCCACCCCCTACCCTTGCCATTGTATTGAGAGGAGAGAAGGGTTGAAAATAGAGCTAATGATAAATCATACTTAGGTGATGAAGCATCCTTTAAAATTCCAACAAAATGGGGTTCAGAGAGCTTCCAGGTTGGTGAATACATCCACACACCAGGAGGGTGCCACACCCTCAACTCAGGAAGACAGAAGCTCCTGTGCTTGGGACCTAGCCCCCCCCAATGCCTATCCCCCCCATACCCCTCACCCCAGGCCTCGACCTCTGTGTATCATCTGACATTCATCTGTATCCTTTAATAGATTAATAAACATAGGTAAGTGTTTCCCAGAGTTCTGTGAGTTGGTCTAGCAAATTACTGAATCCTCTGGGTACGAGGTCACAGGAACCTCCAGGTAGAACAGAAGTTGGGAGTAACTTGGGGACTTACTACTTGTAATTGGCATCTGAAGCAGAGTCAGTCTCATGGTACTGGTCCCTAACCTGTGTTATCTGATGTTATTTCAGATTGTGTCAGAATTGAGTTAAATTGTAGGACAACCAGCTGGTATCCCAGAGATCTGCTTGGTGGGAGAAAACGCCCATGCATTTGGTGTCAGAGGTAAAGTATTCTGTATGAGTAGTAATGAAGACATGTGGGAAAAAGACTGGGTTTTTCTAGTACATACATTAATCTGACTTGCTGTTAACATCAGACTGAATCCAATAGGAACTACTACTAATTTTAGGCAATCATATGTCATCCATTTAATGACATGTTCTAGAATCTTGCCAAGATTCTGGAAAGATTTACAGCCTCTGTTTCCCACCCCACCCCACCACCCTTTGGAAAACTGTAACCTAGGTTCCAGTTTCCTGGAATATCTTCCACCCACACAATTTCTCCAGAATATTAGCAGTGATCAAGTTGCATGTTTACAGTACTGGGAATGTAATAGTTACTAAGTCAGGAGTCTTGAAATGATTTTTTCATTTGGAAAGATGTCGTAATATTAGAAACAGTCTTAAGACAAAATTCATATTGCTTTCACCCTCACATAATACAGTTCTACAAATAACTTCCTGATACTTTCACAACCCCATATTTACTCCACTCAGCTGGCTTTCTCATTGGAATTAATGGTAACGCCACTTCATTTGTTCAGGCCATAATGCTGAGAGTCATCCTCATACTCCTCTTGTACATTCCCTGTCAGTCTGTCTGAAAATCCTCTTGGCTCTATCTTCAAACTGTGTCTCAGATTCAATACCTCGGTATTCTCACAGCCAACTTCATCCCACAGGATGAAGGACAACCCAGGTCCTTACTTTCCTCCCCCAGTAGCCTAGTCTTCACGCAACAGTCAGAGTGATCCTGGCATTTTTCTGCTTACAACCCCACAGTGTATCCCCAGTTCAATTGGAATAAAAAGTCAGTCCTTTCAGTAGACTACAGAGCCTAATACCAACTGGCCTGCTTACTCCTAAAGGGCTTTGCTCACTCTGTCTCAGTCACTCTACCTTCATTGCTATTCCTTGGGGAATATTTCTAGTGCAAAAGCTCTAGCTGTTCTCTCTGCTTATCAGTTCATCAGTCAGTTCAGTCGCTTAGTCATGTCTGACTCTGCAACCCCATGGACTGTAGCACGCCAGGCTTCCCTGTTCATCACCAACTCCCGGAGCTTGCTCAAACTCATGCCCATCAAGTCAGTGATGCCATCCAACCATTTCATCCTCTGTCAGCCGCTTCTCCTCCTGCCTTCAGTCTTTCCCAGCATCAGGGTCTTTTCCAATGAGTCAATTCTTTGCATCACGTGGCCAGAGTATTGGAGCTTCAGCTTCAGCATCAGTCCTTCCAATGAATATTTAGGACTGATTTCCTTTAGGATTGACTGGTTTGATCTCCTTGCAGTCCAAGNAGTCAGGTATTCCCATCTCTTGAAGAATTTTCCATAGTTTGTTGTGATCCACACAAAAGGCTTTGGTGTAGTCAATAATGCAGAAGTAGATGTTTTTCTGGAACTCTCGCTTTTTATATGATCCAACATGTTGCAGTTTGATCTCTCTGCTTATAAAGCTCATATTCTGGATATTTTAATTACTCTCAAATATTTCCTCAAATGTCACCTTCTCAGTGAAGCCTTCCCTGACCAACCTAATTAAACCCTGGCCCTTACCACAGCATTGCCAGTATCCCTTTGTTGTTCAGTTGCTCAGTCATGTCTGACTCTTTGCAGCCCATCAACTGCAGCCTGTCAGGCTTCCCTGTCCTTCACCATCTCCCGGAGCTTGCTCAAACTCATGTCCATTGAGTCAGTGATGCCATCCAACCATCTCGTCCTCTGTCATCCTCTTCTCCTGCCTTCAATCTTTCCCAGCATCAGGGTCTTTTCCAGTGAGTTGGCACTTGGAATCAGGTGGCCAAAGTATTGGAGCTTCTGCTTCAACATCAGTCCATCCAAATGAATATTCAGGATTGATTTCCTTTAGGATTGACTGGTTTGGTCTCCTTGCAGTCCAAGGGATTCTTAAGAGCCTTCTCCCAAAACTACAGTTATTCTCCCTTACTCTGCTCCATTTTTTCAGTAGCACTTAACTTATCAACTCCTTCCACATTTATTATGCTTTACTACTTCCTGTCTGCCCCTGCCTGCTTGAATGTCAGTTCCCTGAGGGGAGGCATGTTTGGCTGTTTGGTTCCTTGCTATATCCCAAGTGCCTGGAACAAGGGTGTGCTCAGCACTTAGTAGGTGCTCAGCAAACATTTGTGAAATGAATGAATGAATGAACTTGAACCGTTATTTTCATGATGGAGTATTGTTGTCTAGGCCTTTCTTACCTGCAGATACATGAACATAGTGGTAAGCATACTAAGCATATTTTGTATATGATATTTTTGTCATCATACCATAAATACTATCATGTTTCTAAAGATTTTCAAAATTACAACCACTTTTTCTTTTTAAATGTACTTAAACTTTATGCATGCTTGTTATTATTTTTCAGACAATAGAGTTGTTCAAAGGAAAAGTTAATTATTTCCCACCTCCATTTATCTTACCCTGCTGAAAGGAACCACTTTCAAATTTAGTGGATACCTTTCGAAATATTTTCTCTGTACATGTATATAAATATGTAATATGTACAGATTTCACAGTTCAAAGACAAGTATGTAACTTTATTTTCTGTAACACAGGCCGGTTTCTATTTTAGGCCTCATTCCCTCTGATAGCAGAAAAATTAAGTATAGTTAACTGAGGATAAATGTTCACACTTCATGATTTGCTTATGTATTAATGATCAGTTATGGTTTAATTCAGGCTTAATCCGCCTGCAGTGTGGAAGACCTGGGTTCGATCCCTGGGTTGGCAAGATCCCTTGAAGGAGGGTGTGGCAACCCACTCCAGTATTCTTGCCTGGAGAATCCCCATGGACAGAGGAGCCTAGGAGACTACAGTCCATGGGGTTGCAAAGAGTCTGACCCGACTGAGCGACTAAGCACAGCATAGTATGGTTTAATTCTAGTGAACTTGTTCTTTTCTCCTTTCACCTTTATATAATTACCAAGTTGTTTAAAGTTATTATAAAAGAATATATATTCATTACAGAAAAATTTTGTTGTTGTTCAGCTGCTAACAACAGCTGTCCAACTCTTTGAGACCCCATGAACTGCAGCACACCAGGCTTCTCTGTCTTTCGCCATCTCTTTGAATTTGCTCAAACTAATGTCCATTGAGTCAGTGATGCCATCTCCTCTGTTGCCCCCTTCTCTTCCCCTCAGTTTTTCCTAGCATCAGCGTCTTCCCCAGTGAGTCAGCTCTTCGCATCTGGTGGTCAAAGTACTGGAGCTTCAGTTTTCAGCATCAGTCCTTCAGTGAATATTCATGGTTGATTTCCTTTAGGATTGACTGGTTTGATCTCCTTGCAGTCCAAGGGACTCAAGAGTTTTCTCCAACACCACAGTTCGAAAGTGTCACTTCTCTAGCACTCAACCTTCTTTATGGTCCAACTCTCACATCCATACATGAGTCCTGGAAAAACCATAGTTTTGACTATACGGATTTTTGTCGACCAAGCGATTCTCTGCTTTTTAATACACTGTCTAGGTTTGTTATAGCTATTCTTCCAAGGAGTAAGCATCTTAAAATAATAAATCACAAATAAGCAAAATAAAAACCGTTTGTAAAGCCAGCAGCCAGAAATAATCAATTTGTTCTGTTCATATATATGCATATTTGAGATCATATTTTAATTAGCTTTTATTGCTTTATATATTGCAAACATTTTTTCATATCAGAAAATACACTTCTGTGGCATTTTTAACGACTGTGTAGTCTCCCATTGTATAAATGTACCATAATTATTTTACCTGATTTTGTACATTTGGTTTGTTTCCAGCTTTTCATTTTTGTAGAATTACTTGTAGATGAATCTCTGTGCACATCCCTAATTATTTCCTCAGGATAAACCCCTGGAACAGTTATTAAAAGGTTGTGCTCACTGTTGAAGGATTTTGATGATGTTGTCAGCAGAGCTACCAAAATGGTGTCACTGCTTTCACTCCAGCAGGCAGAAGGATCCTTTTCTTCACATTGTGCCAACACCATCTTAAGTCTTCCACATTACCTTGTTTTTCGATGTTTTCTTAAATATTTTCCAACATATATTTTTCAGATGATAATTATTTGGGATTCATTTTAGAAACTAGATCCTCTTTTACAATTTAATGGACTCCTCCTTATCTTATCAAGTATTCTTTGTATTGATTTTAGTCCAAAGTCCTATAGGTACAAAAGTCAGTTTGTATATTTTCTATTTGTGACATGTTCTTTTATTCTGGAATATATTTTAAAACTCTGACCCATAAGGAAACAGCCATATTCATTTTCTCCTCTTGTTTTACCTCTTAGCAGCTTCTAAGACACTGGACTGTGCACCTCTTCTCCCAGCACTATTCCCCCTTAATTCCCTTGCCACCACACTCTCCTGGGTGCCCTCCTCCCTCTCTGACCACTCCTCAACCTTCCTAACCAGCTTCTTCCTCTTCCCTTTTATTCTGTGCCCAACACTTTCTGTTTATGTAATGCTGTTACCAAACTCAGATCTGGATCCTCATTGCCCAAAAATCATTACTCGAGAAAGAGACAAATGTTTGTAAAAGGAAAGTTGCTTTTAATCAGAGTGCCAGCAGTCTGAGGAGACAGTGAATTCAGTTTCCCTGCAAAGCTATCGCTGAAGATTCTGCTCGGCCATGATAGTTTGTAAAGGGGAAAAAAGGAAGTAATCTCAGTTGATCATTGAAATAGGGGCACAAAGTTGTTCCAGTTCCCAATATAAAGAAAGCTGAGAGCCAAAGAATTGATGCTTTTGAACTGTGGTGTTAGAGAAGACTCTTGAGAGTCCCTTGGACTGCAAGAAGATCCAACCAGTCAGTCCTAAAGGAAATCAGTCCTGAATATTCATTGGAAAGACTGATGCTAAAGCTGAAATGCTAATATTTTGGCCACCTGATGCAAAGAACTGACTCACTGGAAAAGACCCTGATGCTGGGAAAGGTTGAAGACAGGAGGAGAAGGGGATGACAGAGGATGAGATGGTTGGATGGCATCACCGACTCAATGG